GATAGATAGATAGATAGATAGATAGATAGATAGATAGATAGATAGATAGATAGATAGATAGGTCCCAGCAGCTTAAGACATTACACACAACATATAAGTACTAAAAAGCACTAGAATACTAGATATTAAATACTAATTTAGCCCTTTAAAGCCTGATCCAAGAATAAAACAAAACAGATAATTACTTCTTTTTGGTTTGCAGTCTTTATATTTTAACAAAATATGTAAAAAGAAAAAACAAAAAATGAATTTCTTATATTAACAATTTATTACTATGCGATAAGTCAAGATTATTTTTTGTGTAGTCTTTTGCAACCCTGTTATCAGGTATATCTGATTGTGTACAATAGGATTTTGAGCAAAGTTTTTACCAATAAATTATGCAAAAGGTGTCAGACGCAAAACATTTCAGAAACCGTACAAATATGAGACATTTGGCATTACAGGGTTAAAATATGCGTGTTAAAAGTGCATGTTGGCTAGTGTAGCCAGTAGAATCAGACAGAATACAGTTCCATCAGTCTGTATTATCAAACGGAGAGCAAAAAGCAACCCCAAACCCCTCACTGTGAGCCTCTCTCCCCCCTCTGCCCACAGGTGGGCGGCCACACCATGCTGCCCATCCGCTGGATGCCCCCGGAGAGCATCATGTACCGGCGCTTCACCACGGAGAGCGACGTGTGGAGCCTGGGCGTGGTGCTGTGGGAGATCTTCACCTACGGGAAGCAGCCCTGGTACCAGCTCTCCAACAACGAGGTCAGTCGCACGCCCCCCTGTGACCCAGTCGGCTGTATTTCCGGGTAGTGATTTTTATTTATTTGTTTATTTGACAGGGTCAGTACAATTAAACATTGCAACCAAACAGGTGGCCGATGTCCAACTGCATAAGGCTTGTAGCCATGGGCTAATTTGCAGCCTTCGTCCCTGGTTAGGCTTTTAAAAGGTGTTAGCATTAAGGGGGAGGGAGGTTAGTAACAACACACAGATGCATAAGAAACAAGAGAAGTTAAAACAAACAAAAAAAAAGGTAAAGTACAAGCCAGTTTAGTGCTCACACTCTTGATTGTCTTTGAGCCATTTTTTCAATTTTGTGGAGAAAAGTCGAACATCAGTCTGTGACTTAAGCTCCAGAGGCAAAGAGTTCCAGAGATGTGACGGCCAGATGAAGCTTCATAAAGCTTCGAAGCTTCAAAGCCTTCCATCCAATTGGTTCCCTCATATCTGAAGCTTCATGGAGCTTCATTTGCTCTATTGTGTCATCAAGCGGACAATAAATGTAAACCGTATAGTGTGATTATGAGGGTGGATCTCAGGGGAGGACTCAGTTGCGGAGATGTTACAAAGGGGTTTATTTTTTTACAGAAAACGCACTCAACGGAGTGGATGATCAGACAAGGTTCAAAACAAGGCTGTGACAAAACTATGAACAAAGTATCAAATCAAGATTAACAAGGCTATGGCAAAAAGTACTAAAAGTAAACAAAACTATGGCAAAAGTATCAAATCAAGATTAACAAAACTGTGGCAACGTATCAAAACAAGACTAAGGCAAAAAAACTAAATAAAGTCAACAAGACTTTGGCAAGGCAAGGCTGTGACAAAAACAAGGCTAAGGCACAAGAAACAAGACTGTGG